TTTCTTGTGTGTCAGTTTTAAATTGCTTTGCCCACCAATCACTATCCACATCATATTGTCTGCTGAGCCAAGTAGAGTTATTTCCACCTTCTGTGAAAACATCATTATATTGGCTATGAGTTGGCCCTTGTGTCCATGGAATTTAGACAAAGCTATTGCCTTAGGCAAATTTGGATCATCAGGATTCCAAATCAGTGTATTTGGGGCCAAGAAGGGGCCCTTGATAATGAGAGGTTCCTGCCCTATTATCTGTCCTTAGTGCATTCACATTGGAGGATGGCAGGGGTGACAAAGAGCAGAGTTATGGGCATGTGGAGGAGGAGGGGAAAATCAGCACTTGGTAGCACCTTTAATAGCAAGAACAGGTGTTGCCAGAGCATTTTGCTAAGGTGTAGAATGCCCCAAAGGTGAAGAATTTAGCATGAAAAGGATTGTGGGCAGGCATGACCTTGGCATTTTTATATATGATCAGGCATTATTTTTCAATTTTAGTAGAGGCTGTTTGAAAAGATTTATTCTGGCATTCAGTCCAGCTAATCGAGTAAATGAAAGTGTCCAGTTCTAAGGCTCATCTCTGTGTATCTCGTGAAATGCATTGTGAACCTTGATCTAGATCTAATTTATGACAGCAGTAAGAATTCGGAGGGCTTTGGTAAGGCCCTGGACAGTAGAGTCACTCAGCATCGGGTACATGCCTGTATCAAGCCAGTGTGTCGACCTTGGCGTGGGCATACTGAGTGTCGCCAGGAGATGGCGATAAAGGGCCAATAAAATTAACCTGTCAATAACCTTAAGGGCTGGCGCCCAGCGAGTGGATTCCCAGCTTGTAAATTCCGAATGGCGCGTTTTATGGTAGAGGTCACAATTGGAGACGATCATTTTGGCCATTAGTGTGCAAGTGGGAGGCCTTTGTTGTGCTCCCATTGGTATTTCATGCTCCTTGCCACCCTGAGCTGGCCTCCAGACTCATCTCTCACCATTCTTTTGTTCTATTTCTAATCCCGTGGGCCTTCCTTCCTCCTGCCAAACAAGCTCATTTCCTGCTCAGCCTTTGCACTGGCTGGTCCCTTGCTCTGAATACTGTTCTCCAGGTCTTCGTGCAGCTGGGTCATCATGCGCTCTAAGTTCAGTTTTTTGTTTTTCGTTTTGTTTTTTCCTCAGCGAGGTCTTTCCTGACCACCATTTCTAAGGTTGTTCTCCTTTCCCATTTCTTTCCATTGCATTACTCTGTTTTATTTTCTTTATAGCAGTTATTACTGTCTGATATTACACATTCATTTTGGCTATTTATGTTTGTTATTTGATTCCCCCAACCATAATGTCAGTTGCAGTCTGCTCCCCGAGTGTGGGGCGTGGTTCCTGACACACAGTTGGTGCTCAATAAATAATTATTAAATTATTGAATCAATGAACTGGCTCTACCTATTTTAAAGCTAGATTTCAGCAGTGACACTTGTATCACCATGGAAACGAAGCCCCCACATAAGGAAAATGATCTAATGATGGGGCAACATGGAGCATATGGCTAACATACTGCATGTAAGACTCTTGCCAGCCTGTGAGCTTGTGATGACAAGCCATGGGTGCTCGGCCATGCCCTCTCATTGTGCTGAGGCAATAAACAGAACACTTGTGACCCTGAGTTGTCCTTCATCTTCACAGAGGCACGTCTCTGTGTTAAATATTGCAGCATCTTTTTGTGCAACTTTTTTCTCGGTTGGATTGAACCTGCAAATTGTCTTCTGAAAATGCAGAAGCTAGTACCCCATCTTCTCCTCCCACCTACCTGAGCAGTATCCATTTACCTGTTTCCTGTGAAAGTTCATCATTATTAGCTATGAGTTGGCCCTAGCACCCATGGAATTGAGGCAAAGCTTCTGCCTTACGTAAATTAGGATTTGTGTAAGGGAAATAAAATAGAGGAGATAACGTAAAATGGAAGGTCAAAAGGTACAAGCTCTCACTGCTTAAGGTTGTGGTTTGGCTATTATTAGTCAACATCTTGGGACTGGGATGGATTTTTTTTCAGTAGAGGCATATTAAAATATAGATTAAAAATAAGTTTAAATAGCTATATAAAAGTTTAGATTTGCATAGTTATGGGGAGAGTCATTTTGAACAAGTCGATGAGAACACTGGTATAACATAACTAGACAATTTAAAAAAATGTTTGCTGTAGAAACAATTCTAAATTAAAAACAAATCTGAACAAATAGCACTCACAGTCCTGAATCCTTCTTGGGAACTGCGGGGTGTATTCCATCACAGTGCATCTCAGTTTGACTCTAGACTCATGTCTCTAAGGCTGGCTTTCGGCTTTGATTTCAGTTGTTTCATGAAAGAAAATAAAGGTGCTTTCAAAAAGTCAACTGGGCTTGTGGCCCAGGACGCTAAAACAGCCAGAAATTTCAGGATAGTTTTTGATTTCAGATCTCACCTCTAATAAGTTTCTGGGGACACAGTATGTTCTTGATAGGGGCAGCTTGCTCTTTGCTTATGATAGGCATGTGTTGCTTTTGCTATAGAACATCCACTCTACTCCTTCGATAACATTTCCAAATTTCCATTTTGGGAATCCATCCAGCCCCATTCTCAGTCTGTGAAGAGCTGATTCTATTTCTGGATTAGGGGGTGGGGTTTGTGACCAAGATTAAGACAATCAGAGCATTCTATCCTCGCAGCCACTGATTGGTTCAAAGATGGGCACATGACCTAAGTCAGGCCAATCAGGGCTAGTGGGGAGACTCAGGTCTTGGACTTCTATTTGTGTTACAGGGGAAGTGAGCTGTCTTTCCCACTGGATTTGGTATTGGAGTTGATGTGTTCTTGTAGTAGCTTGAAACATCGTGTATAGCCTGACAATGAATCCAATACAGCTGGAGGTAATGTATTATCATTGGAGGTGATATGAAGATGGGTTCTAATGATACCATATGAGCCCAGACCAGTTGTCCTTGAACATTGTCCCTGACCTTTCAGTTGTATAGCCAATAAATTACCTGAAGAGCTCTGACTGATCCATAAATCACTTGTTTTTGTAATTAAGCCTGCACTTTACTCTGAAATACATACATCAAGAAAATGAGATGACTTGATAATGTAGGTATTTCTAAGGTTTGCATTCTTAAGAAAGGAAGATGCATAACTTTAAAATGTTATTCTTACCAAAATGCATGAATGAATTCTGGACATGGACCTTCATGGCTGTTAAATTCTATGATTAAGTCAACCAACATGGCATGCCTACTCTATGACAGTAGTAGGTGCCCATTCCAGCAAGGTCAGGCAGCTCAGCCTTGAGAAATAAGTGCAATCCCTAAATGTTTCCATTGGGTCAGTTGGCATGCCTACCTCACTCAAGTGAATGTCAGTACTCCCATGAAGAAATCAGCAATTCTCACCACTCCAACAGCTCTGAGTTCAGCTTATTCTGATGTTTTGTCCCATTAGTGAAGATAATTACCTTGATAACCATGGGGGCTAGGGCTGGCTTCATGGATGTGTGATCTGTGCAGTCACACAGGTCCCCATACTCAAAATAACTCTCTGTTGGGTTTAATATTTTATCATAGCCACCTTGAAATTTTTAATAATTTTAGAACAAGGGACCCACATTTTTATTTTGTACTGGGCCCTGTGAATTATGTGTATTGTGCAGACTGGAATCCAACAAGTTCGAATCTCATATTCCTTAAGTCCCCCAATTTTTGGATTTGCAGAAGTGGCTCAATGCATTCTTCATCAGATTTATGTCACCAGCTTGCATTTCTACTGTCTGATTCTATGAGAATGAATTTCTGTGTCGTGTATCATAGCCTCAGGACACAAGAGATGATGATTAAGGGTACAAGCATGGAGAAATATCACATCTTTTACTTATTTCATCGTGTTTGACTGATAAATGATGCTGTGGGAGAAGAGCTTGAATAACTGCTGGAACATTCTCTCCTGGCTTGCATTGCTCTAGTGAACTCAGCTTTTTAATGTTCATGCCAAATTTAAAAATTATTTACTGACATGCCCAAAGAGTTATGGGTGCTAAAATTATGCCCAAAATTTTTGTTAAAAATATCAAGAGGGACACACTGTGTCTACAGGTAACAGGTAGGATGCTTCTCAGAGGGACTCTTTGTCTGAGTAAGAATGGCACCAAGTATGGGTCCTGGGAGAAAGGGTCTGTCTGTAAGGTACACGGGAGGAACTCCCCAGGCATCCTCCTCTTCAGAGTTGTTTTGGCAGCCACGACATCCTCAGATTAAACAAAGTTTTGTAGGGAACAGTGACCAAAGGCAGCTGCCCAGGAGGCAGAGGGAAAGCACTTGGAAGTGCCTTAATAGACTTCAAATTCCCTTTGACTTGAAAGGAAAACGTATTCTTGAGTGAGAAAAAACCTAAGTGATTAGTCATTCAAAGCCTTCATTTAATACCAGACTCTTTTCCCCCAATGTTTTCTTTTGAAAATCATCAAACACACAACAAAGTTGAAAGAATTTTACAGTGAACACCTTTCCACCAATCACCTAGATTCTACTCTTAACAATTTATTATGCTTGCTTTCATGAATCTCTCCATTGATCCATCATCCATTCATTCATCTTATTTTCATGATATATTTCTATAAAAAGAAATATTATAAAATTAAGAATTTTATTTTTTAAACTGTGATAAAAATAACATAAAATATACTATTTTAACTACTTCTAGGTGGATAATTTAGTTTTAAGTATATACACATTGTTGTGCAACTAACATCCAGAACTTTTTCAACTTGTAAAACTGAAGCTTTATACACATTAGGTTACAACATTCCACTTTCCCCTCCCTCCAGCCCCTGACAACCACTATTCTACTGTTTCTACGAATGTGACTAGATATCTCAGTTAAGCGGAATCACACAGTAGTTGTCTTTTCTATAACTGACTTTTTTCACTTAGCATAATGTCCTTAAGGTTCATCTACATTGTAGCATGTGTCGGAATTTCCTTTCTTTTAAAAGATGAATGACATTCCATTATGTCTGTATCACATCTTGGTTAACCATTTATTCATTGCTGGACATGTGGGTTGCTTGTGAATAGGGCTGCTATGAAAATCGGTGTGTAAATATCTCTTCAAGATCCTGCTTTCATCCCACCCCATCACTTTATTGAAGAATAATTGGTAAGTACAATTGTATATGTTTAAAGTATATTAAAGTACTATTTCTATTTCCTTCATATATCCACCACCTTATCTGGAAGGACCATGGCAAAGACCATGGCAAAGACTCTTTTCTTAGTAACAGAACCTCAAATTTTAGCTAGACACATTGGCTTTAGGAATTAAGACAACGTTTTTTAGCTTCCCTTGAAGCTGGAGTGGTCATGTTACTATGTTCTGGCCAGTAGTATGTAAGCAGAATTGTTGTGTGGGAATTTGGGGAAGGTCTCTTAAAGGGAGTGGGAGTGAGGGCCCTTTTGTCCTCTCTCATTCCTTCTGTTCTCTGGAAAAAAAGCATGAAAGCTGGAGAGCCAGCTCCTATTTTGTGCCATGAGGTAACCCTGAGTTTGGAGGTTATTTGTTAGGGATAGTGCAGCAGCAAAGTAGCAACCTGTGCTGTTAATGACATGGTGGGTTTGTCAAATTATTCTCTCAACTACTTTCTACATAAGAGATAAATAAATTTTTGATTTTTGATTTCTTTATTATATGAAGCTGGATTTAATCCTAACAAAGGAGCTTTCCCACATTTTATCTATATTTATCTTTTTTCTAGCCTCATTTTTTTCCAAACACAAATCTGTAACAGATTCCATGTTTTAAAAATCTAAGGTTTAAAACATCATTTTTATTTTTTATAATGTCCAAGATTTTGGTATGTGAACCTTATGATAGTAATTATTGTTGCTTCTGGGTACATGGTAGGTTTTCACTTATTTTTTCCCTTGTGGTTGAGTAGAACCATGTGACTAATTCTGACAATGCATTGTGAGAAGAAGCACGTGCTGTCACTTGAGCACTGGAGCATTTAATTGCCAGTGTGAGTCCCTGCAGAGTTGCTTTTACTTCTGGAATGGTAGCTGGCAATATTAACAGCCAGCCTGGGTCCTGAGGACAACGAGGAGTAGAACATCCTATCGACATGTAATAGACAGGTAGCGTGAGTGAGAAAGAAACCTTTTTTCTTTAAGACCATTGAAATTTCAAGGTTGTTGTTCCTGCTACATACCCTAGCCTAGCTGTCCTCAAAGTGTGGTCAGAGGACTCCTGGGGGCCCTCTAAAACCCTTAAGGTGGTCCTCAGAGGGACCAAACTTTTCCTAATGACGCAAGTACGTTATTTGCCTTGTTTGCTGTGTTGACATTTGCCCTCATGGTGCAAAAGTAATAGTGAATAAAACCGCTAGCACTGTAGCAGGAATCAAGATAGTGGTACCAAGTCGTAGTCTTCTTCACCTTCCTCTCACAGTAAAAACAAACCAGCAAGCAGAATGCCCACATAAAACCCCAAAACTAGTTTTACTTAAGAATATCCTTGCTTAGAATTATATTTTTTATCAAATTTCACCCTTTGAGTACATATCTTTTTGATATTCTGCACGATGAAATGGGAAATACATCAAAAGCAATTTTGAAGTGTAATGGTCCTCTCAAGGAAAAAGAACTTGTGTCACTGAGTTGTGAGCTGGACCAGCCACTCCTTTCATGAAACAACATTTTTACTTGAATGAATGACTTATTGACAAACTATGGCTATCCAGACTTTGGCATTTGCTAAACATTTTTTTACAAGTGCTCCAAGTGAGTCATTCAGTTAAAGGTAAACAACTGATAGTATTTATGGCAACAATAAAATTCAAAGTGAATCTACCACTATGAGTTTGAAGCTTCTCAGATATTAAAGCCTTTTCTGATAAGTGGTTATATTAATGAATATGGTATTTTTGTCTTGTATAATGAAACATGTCAAAATGTGGAAGGTCTGTACAACCGTGAACCAGTTTTTCTAAGGGATTAGTGCAGGAAGTGACCAAATCATGCATGGGTAACAGATCCATTTAAAGAATAAAATAGACCAATGCATTTTGATGTAACAGAACACGAGAAATTTCTTTGACGTGGTTTCAGATTCCATGTTGCAACTAACCTTTAGGAAACTACCATTTGTTGAATTTTGGTGTAATATAAAAGAAGACTACCCATAACTATCTAAAAAAGCTATTAAAATATTCCTTCCTTTTTTTACTATACATATTTCAACCAAAACAACACATGACAGCAGAATGAATACAGAAAAAATACGAAAATTCTGCTGTCTTCCATTAAATCTATGAAAGAGATTTGCAGAAATTAAAAAGAACACATTTTTCTTATTTGATTTTTTCAAAATATACTTATTTTTCATAACAAATATATTTATGTTAGCATGTAATGAGTTTATTATTGCTATTTTTAAATCAATAAAGAAATACTAACAATTATTTTAAGCATCTTTTATTTATTTTTAGTTAGAAAATTTTCAACTAGAGATGACAGTTAATATTATTTTATATTAGTTTCAGGTGTACGGCATAGTGGTTAGACATTTATATAATTTACAAAGTGATCCCCTTGGTTAATCTAGTACCTACCTGGCACTATACATGGTTATTACAATATTATTGACTACATTCCCTATGCTGTACTTCACATCCTCATGACTATTTTGTAACTACCAATTTGTACTTCTTAATCCCTTCACCTTTTTCACCTAGACCCTCAACCCCTCCCTCCAGTCTGGAAAAAACCAGTTTGTTCTCTGTGTCTATGTATATATGAGTCTGTTTTCGTTTTGTTCATTTATTTTGTTCCTTAGATTCCACATAAAGTGAGAACATATGGTATTTGTCTTTCTCTGACGTATTTCATGTCAGACCCTCTAGATCCATCCATATTGTTGTAAATGGTAAGATTTCATTTTTTTTATAACTGAGTAAACATTCCATTGTATGTTATTAAAAATTTCTTAATTTTAACTTCAAATGTAGTAATTATTGATAAATATAGTCCACATAAACAAAAGCTCTTTTAGGTCCTCAATAATTTTTAAGAGTAAGAAGGGGTCCAGAGACCAAAAAGATTTGAGATCTGCTGTTCTAGCTTATCCTGACTGATAGAATTGTAATATTCAGCTACCTTTTTTAAATATTATTTTATTTGGTCATTTATATACTCGTTGAACAAATATTTATTGAGCACTACTACATGCCAGTTATTCTAGGCCCTGGGGTTTCAGCAATGAATTAAAGACACAAGACTATTTATCTTTATGGAGTTTACATTCTAGTGTGTAGCAGAGAACAAAAAATAATCAAAATAAATATATAACATATCTAACATGTTAGATGGCATTACACCTATGGAGAATAATATAACAGGAAAAGGGAATAGGGAATTCCTGGGCTAAAGGTGTTTAATTTTAAATAGGGCAGTCAGAAAAGACCTCACCAAGGTGACATTTGGTCAAAGACCTACACAAAGCAAGGAAGATTCATTTCAGTAACAAGGAACTGTTACTGTGCAAAGCTCCTAAGAGCATGTCTGGGATATTTTCAAGGACTATCCAGGAGACCAATGGCAGCTGGATCGGTGTATTGTGCTCAGCATTACAGGATAATTACCAGTATTACTAATATACTTTATGCAATTTTCCCTGGTCTTCCTAATAATCTGCTGGTCCGAGGGATGTATCCTAACTTTTTCTCTGGTGTAATTAGGTGGATGTAAGCTATTTTGCTGAAGAATTTTGCTTGGCATCATCTTTAGAATGTGACCTATAATGTTTATCTCTGGCTATTTAATTATTACTCATATTATCTTAGATGGCAGGTACTGTCCTTATGAGGATTTATCCCTTAGTTTTTTTGAGGCAAATGAGAGTAGATCCAACATTTAGAAACATTGAAAGCAGTTTCTATACATATATTACAATTGGAACTCATTCATTCATTCATCTAACAAATACTTACTATTTGCAGGATCCTGTTCAAGGCTCTTTAGATATATCTGTAAACAGAACTAAGATTCCTGCCCTTGGGAAGCTGATTATTAAGTAAGGGGAGGTAGAGAATAAACAAACATCACAAGTAAGTAAATTACATGCTATATTAGAAAGTACTATGATGGAGAAACATATGGCCTTGATTGTGGTGATAGTTTCTTGTGTGTATACTTAACTCCAAATGCATCAGGTTGTACACATTAAATATCTACAGCTTTTTGTCTGTCAATTATACCTCAATAAAATGATTTTTAAAAAGGTAATAAATGCCATGGTAAAAAAGCAGAGTAAAGGATTCTAAGTTACGTCTTTGTAATTTTTACATATAAGTACATAATTAAATAAAAATACCTTATTCTTGTAGTGATCAAAAATTTTTTGATTTTTGTGGCAAATACTTTTTTACTTTTAAATTTATAGGCTCACAGAATCTACCTACGTAGTAACCTAGGAAGATGCATGTGGCCGCTGATGATCATCGAGGTAACTCTTTTCTTTTACATCTAGATTATCTTAGTGCCTGTTATTTTAAGACTCTTTTCTTTGACAGAGGAGAGGTTAGTATTGTAAAATATTTTTGTCTCTATTTCTTGTCTTTTTTTTTTTTTGTTATTAGTCGTGGCAATGTTAACCCATTTAACAAACTCCCCAGTTCAGCAGTTTAACCTAATTTACTTCTCAGTACATCCCAATCCGTAGTGTTAGATGTGGTTTGTTCCTTTGGGTAGTCAGTCAGGGACCCAAGCTGATGGAGGCCCTGTTATCTTCAACATGTGGCTACCAAGGTCACCTGGGGTATCACAATTCTCCTGAAGGATATTTGATGAAAGAGAGTGAGATACTCACAAAAGGATTTTGCAGGTCACCAAGAAGTGACATAATCACTTCTACTTACATTCTGTTGGCCGGAACTCAGTCACATGGCCCTCTTAACTGCAAAATAGTCCATGAGATGTAGTCTAGATTTACCGAGGAGGGAAAGAAATTCGTTTTGATGAATAGGTAGTTTGGTTCTGTCAGTTTTCCCATGGAAAAAGATAACTGTCATTTCTTTAGTAGGAAAAAGGGGCAGTGTGTTCTTTGTGTTCTAGGAGGTATAATCTCACATTCGGCTGCCTTATGACCAAGGCCGTATCTGTAGAAACTGAGATATGGAGATGGTATTTCATGTGCTCAGAAGCTTCAGGTGGCTGTAGTTGTCCCATGTAAAAGGCTTGTCATTTTTTCCTTGAAAAAATGAGTACTCAGACTATTGGTTACAGTTAAAAATATATTATCCAAATATTAAAGCTTTACTATTACTTTTTTCTTTTTCTGATTTTTCTCATTCTTCCTCTAACTCAAAACTTCTATGACAATCTTAAATCTTAGTTATTATCATATCACCATCTTAATATTATCTGTATTTTCATATCAAAGAATATGTTTAAGGTGTAACATTATTGAAACCTTGAAAACAATCTTAACTAAAAACAATTAAATCTAATTTAAGCATATTATTAAGATAATACTTACAATGCACTATTTCATTTTGGACTTTAGAAAAGTTAGGATGTTTACATTTACACTATAAGTATTAATAAAGCTTACACAAAGACTATGAGGTGACAGTATGTCCTTTTTTAACTTTTTATAATTTGATAGCTTTAGATTCCAATTTTAAAAAGTCTTTAGATATACATGGGTACTTATCATTGTATTAAAGTCTCAAAAGGCATTTTAAAATAGAAAATATAACATCAGTGCAAATAATATTAATGTTAAGGATTACTAGAGAGATTTTATTCTGTTAAATCTACTCAGAAAATATATATATATGGGGTTGTTTTTTGTTTTTTTGTTTTTTTGTTTTTTTTTTTTTTTAGGGGAGGCAACCCTTGGTTGACCTCACAGATTGCAAGGACTTGTCAGCTTAAAATCATTTATTTATTATTATTATTTTTTATGCCTACAGCACCTGGTCTTCCTAGGTAGTCTCCCATCCAAGTACTAACCAGGCCCAACCCTGCTTAGTTTCCAAGATCAGACAGGATCAGGCATGTTCAGGGTAGCATGGCTGTAGACTGCAAATATTTTGAATCTATGAAAATCTAATAGATAAAAAATGAGATCTCATTGTAATTTTAATTTGCATTTATTTGATTACAATAAGACAGATTTTTTTAGGGGGGGGGGCCCATGTTTTTGGCCATTCTAGAGGATGAGTTGCCAGTTCACGTCACTTATTCATTTTCTCCTAGAGGTTTCATGTTTTCCTTGTTACTTTATGTTAACTTGCTGTATATTTTAGGGTATCAACACTTCATTATATATGTTTCAGCTTTTGTCTTAACTATTTAGGATACTTTAATTTTTCAGTTTCACTTTGAAATTTATTTTATTTTAATAGTTTTCTGAGGTACAGTTGACATACATAAACTGCATGAATTTAAAGTGTACAATTTGGTAAGTTTTCGACTTATGTATACTCTTGTTAAGCCATTACCACAATCAGATAATGAACACATCCATCACCCCTCAAAGTGTCCTCATGCCCCTTTGTAATTTCTCCCACCAGTCCTCTCTGCCCACCCCTCATATCCCCAGGCAACCACTGATCTGCCTTCTGTCATTAGAGCTTACTTGGATTTTCTGGAATTTTATATAAATGAAATCATAGAGAATATATTTTTGGGGGGTAATTAGTTATTAAAGAAATACAAATAAAAAACACAATGAGTTATACTACAGCCTGTTAGAATGGTTAAAATGAAAAGAACTGATGATACCAAATGGTGAAGATGAGGAGCAACTAGAATTTTTATATACTGCTCGTGGGAATGTATAATGACACAACCATCTTGGAAAACAGTTTGGTATTTTCTTTAAAAAGTTAAGTATTTACTTATTATGTGATTCAGCCATTCCACTCCTAGGTATTTACCTAAGAGAAATGAAAACAGTTCCATACAAAGACTTGTGCATGAATGTTCACAGATACTTTATTTGTAACATCTCCCAACTGGGGACAACCCAAATGTCCATCAACAAATCAGCGGATAAATAAATTGTGGTATATTCATACAACAAAACAGTACTCGTAAATTAGAACTATTGATTTATGCAATAATATAGATACATTTAAAAATGATATCTTTTGACATTTTATGCTATATAATCAGTTTATTTTTACATGAGTTTTACCTTTATTGCCATACTTAGAACTTCCTTGCTCCCAAATTAAATATTAAACTATATAATCTTCTCATACTTTATTTTTCACTCTGTCATTTTTAAAACATCTGTAATTAATTCAGTCTAAGATACGAGGTAGCGAATTGACATTTAAATTTTTTCGTATGGGTAGCTAGTTTCCAAGATTGCTTTGAATTGTTTAGGCCCAACTGTTCTGGTTTATTCTCAGGTCAAATTTGATACCTGTTACATAAATGTTATAAACAATTAATGGACATCAAACTGTATGAGGAAATTTATGTATGATCCTGCTTTCTAACCAAATAAGAAAGTCATAATTTTCATAAGAGTTTCATAGTATCATTTGAAGAGTCAATTTTGCCATAATAGCAACCATAGTATAAATGCTATTTTGAATAATGTAATTAGTATGTACTATTATTCTGTAAGCATTTTCATTTGTCCATAATTATACATGTTGTTAATATACAATATTTCATCATTTAGAGTGTTCTCATTTTCTTGCCATTTAAATAATATTGTATTGAAACTCTTTGTGCCCATAACATTTTGCTTCTTTGGAATAGCTTATGATGGATAGATTCCCAGAGGTACTGTTAACTGGATTAAACAATTAGAAGTTCTGTTTCTTTGTACTTATTTCCACTTGACTTTCCAACAGGGTTATGCCAATTTTATGTTGTTGGTGGGCACATTTGAGTCACCATTGTCTTTGCAGCTTTACTTTCAGAGAGTATTGCCAATGTTGGATCTATGCATTTTCACCATTTTATTACACAAATGAGTAAATGAATACCTCATCAGTCAATCTATCTGGCTAGCCAAACATACACTTTCAGCTCCTTTCTATCTCTCCTAACAATCTGTGGCAGCCACGGGGTGCTCCACTCATATTTCCCTTCAAGAGAACCTACTGCCAGAGGAGAAAAAAATGGCATAGATGATAGAGGCTCTGTTCACTCCTCTGGTGACCAAATCAAAGTTGTGATAGAAACAAGGAGCAAGGAAAAATGTCCTGAGATCTTGATGAACAAGCCATACAACTAGGGAGAAATCCAAGAAATCACCCTGCGACAGCAGGAGGTAGGACAGGGGAGGACGCAGGGCTGCCGGGTCTCAAGCAGCTGAGCGGGATGGAGGCTGCGGCAGCGGCAGCAGCAGATGCCTCTTAAAGGGGCCACATCCAAAAGCGGACTTCCGCAGTGACGGACTTGCTTGCTCTGAGCACCAGTGCCCATTCGGCTATGTGCAGGGGGCACCAGGGACTTACAGGGAGACATTGTCAGAGTGAGGGCCAAGGCGAGACTTGCTGGATACAGAAGTGTCGGTGGTATCCATTGTTCCCTGTTGAGCCCTGCCCCCTACCAATGAACCAGACACAGCGCCGCTATAGCCCTGATGTCATCAAACTGGATAACAGAGGTTGCTCTGCTCAGGCGATTCCCTGAGACTCTGCCTCCCCGAACTTGTGGCCCCACCCAAGCCACATCCAGGTATATCCTCAGCGAGTCAGGTGCTCCTTGCTGACC